AACTCTGGGTTTATCTTGTGAATCATGTTTGTACAACTAACAGTGCTAACTTTGCATGGCACCCCATGACACCTTTGAAAGGATCTCAGTGGAGCTGAGAGTGCCACAGCATGCAGATTGAGAATCACTGCATTAGAGAAAACCTAAAAGAATCTTATTCAAACACTTCTTCATGCAAGTCATGCAAGTTTCATAATCATGGCAGAAGTCAATTGGTAGGCTGATTCATTCTGATTTATCTGTAATCATTCAGAAGAAGCTTGAAAGCTGGAACTCACTAATGTATGGTATGTGACTGAATAATCTTCCGTAACTCTTGTCATCATCCTACAAGCACACCTCTGAAGGTCAATGTGGGCCAAGGAAGCTTGTGTACAAGCAGACAAGGTGAGAAATTCAGACAGTGTGAATGACTGACTAGATAGAGCATTAAATGAGCAACTAGGTCCTGGCTCTTTCTGACATGAATCATATAAGTCAATGAAAATGTCAGCTCCTGTGATGTTATAAAAGCCGCAGTCTGTTACCACTTCCTTGTAAAATCACGTATCACATCCTTATCAAAGAGTTGATTTGCAAGCCAAAAACATTTCCCCTAAATCTTATCAGTATGGGACAGTATCTTAGTAATAACAGACTGGTGGAGACTACTAAAGAGTTAAGTATGAATGAGAGACTAGCTGAGGCCTTTCTGCTCAGAAATATGCTTTGTGAATCAGCCATAAATACAACTGAATGCTTTTGCACAAGTTATAAGAACTTGGGAACTACAGACAAAGCTAATGCTGCTACCTATTCAAAAGGAAAGACTTCTTTGTTAAACAGTGAAGACTGCTGAATGCCAAGAAAGTATTCACTTAACACAGGGGTGGGCAATTATTTTGGGCAGAGGGCCACTTACTGAGTTTCAGCAAGCCATTGAGGGCCACATGACAGGAAGCCCAGGGCAGATTAATATTCATTTTATCATTTTTTTAGCGGCTCCATGGGCCAGATAGAATGGCCTGGTGGGCCACATCTGGCCCCCAGGCACCCCTGACTTAACATATTATTTATGAGCTCCAAGCACATATTGTACAAACAAGAAAATAATTAGTTAATGAACATCAGCAGTCTCATATTGAGCACACTATCAGTTGTTACCATATATAAACAAAACTGAACTCAGAACCTTAAATTTGGTCCAGGGATTTTAAAGTACCACTTTTTAGGTTGATATTGTACCTAAATACTTCCTCCTTTTAAGGGCCTTTCTTAAATTAAAAATAATAAATTTAGCAACTGGCAGTGCTTTTTTTCACAAAGTTGTTAGAATTATTTTAAATAATTATAATTACTGCTGCAGATGCACCTTATTAAATAAAAGTAACTTCAGTATAAATTTATAGCAAAATGACCCAGCCCTGCATTTCAGGCCTAAAAATAGATTAAAATAATATACACATATATTTGGTTCCTGGCTATTTGGTGTTTTATCTATACTTCAAGATTACTGCTGATGAACAGAGACACATAGAAATTCAGCATTTTTAAAGAGCATAACTTTTTAATGGACTGTAACTAAAGAACATTATGTGAAATATCAGTGCAAAAATGTTTTCCTTTGTCTTCAGAATAAAAACTAGCCAGATAAATTTTCTGAGCCAAATTTAGAAGCTTACTAAAGTGGGGTTTGATAATGGAACATGATTACAAGCTTGGCTGTGTAGAGGCCTCTGGACACGATGTGATGTGTATAACAAACAGGGTCATTGCTTTCTAGCCATGATGGTTCCCAGGATTAGACAATAAGCCTTTTTTAACTGTCCTAGAGTTCTGTGATAGGGGTAGAATTCTCTACTAAACTCTACAGAATAGATCAAAAACCTTAGAGAAAAGGTATCATTTCCACATTGCAGACAAGGTTCTTTGGGTGAATCTGATATCTTTTATATCTTTTATATCAGAATCTGATATTTTTTATAACTTTTATATCAGATTCAAAGAACCCTGTCTGCCTATGTCCTTAGACCAGAGCTTTCCAAACTGTGTGCCGCGACACATTAGTGTGTCGGCGGCAGTGTGTAGGTGTGTTGCGCGAAATGCAGAAAATGTTGCGGAAGGGCACCACGGAGCTCCCTTACTCGCGTCTGCTTCCCTTGGCCCCTCCCCCGGAACTGAATTACTGTGTCGCGAAATGATGCATGTCTAAAAAGTGTGTCACCAACATGAAAAGTTTGGAAAGCTCTGCCTTAGACCAACGCGCTATAACTTACACCCCTGTAACATGGAAGATATCAAATTCATTTCCATATTAAATTTCATAGGTTTGGGGAATAATAGAGTGAGTAGCATGTGGGTTTCATCCCTGTTCAAATCTAGGGACTTTTCATATGGGTTTCCTCTAAAATGGGGGCTTAACCATATGCTTAAATCCTAGTGAAGTCAGTAGCATTTAAGTAGGTGTGTGAGGGCTTTACTGAGTACGGTGGGAGGCTTAAGGTCAGATGCACTCACAAGCTTTGCTGAACTGATGCCTAACACATGAAGACAGAGTGGAGAGCTAAATGTGCCATGGTTGAGCTCACTCTGCCTCCCTGTGACAGTCCACAACTCTCCACATGGAGGGTTCTTCGTCTGTACTGCTAAAGCTGTCCTCCCAGCCCTACCTCTCCTCCTACTTGACTGCACAAGACCGAAAGGGACTCCTGGTTCATTAAATCCACACCTGGGGCATTGCAGGCAACCATACTGTGTAATCCCTTTGTGATCAAGTTTCATCTTAAAAAACAGAGAGGCTATTTGCTCCAGGATGCTCCAGGATGTTCCAGGCCTTCATTTCCTAGACAGAACATATTGCAGGTGCCTCCTCTCTATCCCTCCTGAGACTGACATGCCATTTCTTTCCAGTCCATTTAAGACACACTTGCTAAAGTATTTTTTCTGGCCTATTGCCTGGATGTTCTTTGTCCCTCACACAAGGCTCTGGTTGTTCACAGCTCTGTCCATCACTGGCTCCCTTACTCCATCAATGAAGCCAAACTTGTAGACTCATTTTTTTCCATCTGTTGCAAGCAGTTCCAAGCTTTCTTCTACATGTTTATTATGCATGGGGCATTCTCTCTGAATTAACCCATAAGGCCACCATCCTCTCTTCTTTCAAAATATGCTTCATACCCACACTTGTCACCACAGTTCCAGGAAATCAGCTGCCCTATGTTGCTGAGACAAAGAAAAATTTCTGTCAAAACAGCTTTTTAAGCAATATTATTCTCAAAACGTGTTGTTTTTCTGCAAATATTGTGCCTTTTTGTCAGACAAAGCCCTAAATTTCTCATCTCTGGGGTACTACCAGGCGAGAAAAGTAGAAGAATATTTTTGTCTACAAGGTCAGAATGTGTGTCTCAACACTTGAAGAAGATCTGATGAATATGAAAGTGACATTTGAGCATAGACATTTACAGATAGAATCACATTTCAGATCTGCAAAATGTTTAGAAAATGGATGTGTTTTACAACAGACAGTGAGGAATTAATAAAACCGGTGACTCACGCTTTTTGGAGGTATGTCAACAATGTCAAATGTCAATTATAGCTGTGCCTGGAAGAAGATTGTAGTTTTCATGGTTAGGCATTCATCATCCATTATGCTAATCCATGCTCCAGGTAGCATGGTCAAAAAAATATTGTGTTTGAATAGAAAAGGCTATTTTAACAGTGAAATGCAAATTTTAAAATGAATGCTTCTATGAGTGCAAAAGTGGGATAAGATATATAGTTGTGGTTTTAACGTGTATACAAAGAAGGTTCAGAAAATTATCACTTCTAATTCTTGTGAAATCTGAGAGTAATGTGTCTAGGCGTGTTATGCTATATACAGTGTTTCCTCTAGCAGAGGAAACTTGCATCACATATGGTTGGAAGAGGCAGAATGTTCCAGATATACATTTTCATTCCTCTTTAACTTGCTAAAAATGTTCCCTTTTGGGTAGAAGATCCTCTTGGAGAGCTGTAAGGCAAAAAAACCCCATGATTTTTCTCTGTAGATTTTAACCCAGTCAGTTGAGCTCATGCTTGCATTTAAAAGAAAAAAGAAAGTGACTTTTAATTTTCAGTCAAAATTAAGCAGATGTCTGTGATTGAAGGGGAAACCCCCAGGATCCAGTATTAAGTTCTTTACTTTTCTCCCTCTCGCAGAGATCAGCAACCAGAAAGCAGGATGCAGTAACCATACAATAAAAATGCCGCCCTATGCCTGAAGAAAGGTGTGTGTGCCTGAAAGCTTGCAAAGAAGGGTTGGGATTACAGGGGGGCTTGGGGGGGTGCTGATTATGGGGCATCTTGGGATGGGATTACATTATATGCCTGTTAGGATTACAGGGGAGCGTGTGTGTGTGTGTGGGGGGGAGCGGTGCTTTCATCTAATTTCATAAAAGATGAAAACCGCCTGTAAGATTTGAAAAGCACAACCTAGACAGGGGTCTCTGATTTTATTACGGCATCATGATAGACTACCCACATTTTTTGCAGATCCCACCCCCCCCCAAAAAAAGTCAAAGTGTAATTCAAACCCTGTTGCAAAGAACAATTGTTTCCAACGATTTAGTTGGTCTAATAAAGGATCACATTTACCCAAAGAACCTCGTCTGCCTTCAGTTTGTGGGAGAAGAAACTGGGCGAACAGACCAGCTCAAAGGGGTTAGTTAAGTGTATGAAGCTGTCACACTCCTGATTTGGGACGGGGTGAGCGCAAAGGGATGGCAAGCAGGTGTTTTTTGTTGTTTGGGGTTTTTTTTTTTTGGGGGGGGGGGGCGCGGAATCCGAAATCTTTTTTTATGAGACCGACTCAAATAGTTGGAAATATTCTTCCTTGCAAGCTTTCGGGTATGAACACCCTTGGGCAGGGCAGGCTGAGGAAGCGCCTGCACTTGGCGCGCGCTCCCCCGGCTGGCAGCCGGCTTTGAACTCGCGCGGTGAGGCTGTCCCTCCTCCAGGCTGCCCGGCCGCGGAGTCCCGTCTCTAGGGGTTGTCCTTCCTGGGCCGCGGCCGAGCTGTCCCCGCCCAGCTCGCGCGGGTCCCAGGCTCCGGCTGACCCCGAGGGCCCTTGAGGAGCCATGGCCGGGGTGCAGAGAGAGCTGCTCGGGCACGTGGGCGAAGTGGGGGCTGTGGAAAAGTTTGTGCTGAAGTCAGACAGGGTGAAAGTGGAGCTCCTTTCCTTAGGCTGCATAATCACTGCGCTGGAAACCAGAGGCAGGGATGGCCAAGCCTCAGACATTGTTGTGGGCTTTGATCATTTAGAAGGTGGGTTTAAAATTTAAACCATTCTTTTTGTTTGCTTTTCCCCCCAAGACATATGTATTACCTCACTTCTCGGGGCGTGCGTGGTCTTGATTCTTTACTGTCTAACCCAGTGGTTCTCCACCTTTTTTGGACCAGGGCCCATTTGTAAACATGTGGTCAGTCCACCTCACTGCATGTGTGGGGTCCCCAAGCAGCCCCCCATAGGCTGGAGCTCTGCCAGCCCGCAAGGGAAAAGCCACAGTTTCCCATGTATTTCTTTTATTTTAAGGAGAATCCATTTTTAAAGTTTGTTTGTGACCCTTTCATATATTCTTGCCACCCACTTATGGGTCACAACCCACACGTTGAGAAATGCTGGTCTGATCCACTTCTAAGGAGCCTTTTGCAATGACGCCTGATACCACTTTGCAGCATTGCAAACCCCACCATGTCAAAAATCAAGAGACAAACTCTTAACAATCGAGATTTGGTATGTAAAAAATGAGATGCTCCGTTTTAACCCTGCTTCCCCTCAGCTGCTTGTGCATGCGCCCTGAGCAGCACCCCCACCCATTGCAGGCCCAGGCTCAGTGCTGACCCAGCAGGGCTCCCTGCACTGCATCGCAGCTGGGCCCTGCCCAGGCTCCGCTCCTGCCTGGGCTCCCAGGACTTTGCAGCCGGTTCTGGCCTGGTTGGGCATGACACACACCAGAAAAAAAAGTCCTAAGATTTGAGAGTACTATCATGAAATCATGAGTCGGACTAAATTTTACTTAGAAATCGCAACTCTTGCAATAATTTCACGAGAGTTGGCATTACTGACTGCCTTGTCCTTTACTGCCATGCAACATGGGGAGAAGAGACTACCAGCTCACAGTGGTAAT